CATCTCTCTGCTTGCATGATAAATATATTTTTAGAAATTAATAATTATTTTAGTTTAACACGGCATAGGCTAGCCTACTTGTTCAGTGATGATAAAAAAAGATAGTCATAACGGTCTTATCAAGTAACTGTACGACGTTCCACCTGGTTTTATCCGAATGCAGATACGAATAATTGTGTGATTGTTACAGATACAAATACTGGCTGTTACATGAAAATTTAAATATGTAATGTCATAATTATAAAGTTTTGACAATTTACATATGTAATTGTTGCATTAGGCTATGAATTAATAAGCGTTTATTGATAAGAACTATTTCATGTCTTTTCATTTACAGTAGCATGAACCACGAGTTGTCGAGTAACTAGAGTATTTTTTAAAATAAGAAATCGACTAGCAGAAATCAGTAGTCGTGCAACCCCTACTTTATTGATTACTTATTAACCCTAATTTATTATTAACTGACTTTTCCACTCCATGCACCCTATTAGACTTGGCGCATTTTCATTTCACCTTTTGCCTACAGTTATAAATCAAATCACATGCCTCTTTGTAGTTCCCGTTTGGTTATAACTGATTATCATCATAATGTTCAGGTGGCCCTTATTACAACAGGAAGTTGAAATTATCTGAACTTTTAATGATTTGTTTATGTTTTAATAAAGTTCTCACCTGCCTTCTGCCCCAATTATATATTACTTGAAACATTTCCATGACAACAAAAAACAGTAAGAACACATGTGGAGCATCACTGCAAGGACCTCATGATAATCTGGTTATGACAGGTGCTTATGACTCGTTTTGTTTTTTGGTAGAGATGCGCCACACATATGCGGCTCTCAAGAAGAACCTGGGAAATGAATGTGGATGACGAAATGCTTGTGCTTTAGAGGAAAAGCTATTTCTAAACAGTGCAATAACTGACATATAGAGGATTTTGCTTCAAGAAACATACCAGTGGGCCATGATGTTTGTCCAAATTAAAGCGGTCCATTTGCAACTCCCTTTAAATAAATAGTCTCCAAATAAGGTTGATACTGGAAACTCAGCGGACATTTCTGTGACAGCAATGTTATTTAAATGGTGTTCAGTTAGTCTAAACACAACGAAAATCCCTGCCTCATTCAGTCCTTCGTTTCCACCGATTCACATACAGCTCTAAACTCCCAGATATGAAAAGGTGTACATGTGCATAAAATGTGGTATTTTGCCCGATTCTTCTTCCACAAGTTTACCTTGTTTAGTTTTAAGCCTAGTTTCCTCTTAACCCCAGTAAAACACATTAACACCATTTAGAGTCAAATGCCTCATGACTGAAAAACACAACATATGGACTCACCTTCTGACCTGAGATCATCACAGACATGAACTATAGAAGAATTTCCTCACATGACCTAGACATGAACTTGGTCTTTGTGTTTAAGCACTAATCTTAATAATTTATCTTAATTCCTAATTAATCTTGAATTAAGCATCATTTCTTTACGTGGTGTCACCTTTTAGGACATTCTAAAACAAGCGTTTTTGATTAACCTGAACAATGTTTTAAAGGCCAAAAAAATGCCATTTTTAAGAATCACTGACACTAACCATGCATCTGACATGTCAAAACTACAAGAACTAAGCTTTTCTATCTGGCTCCTGAATGTGAAGTTTTAACCAACTGCAGACAAGAGGACTGTTTAAAAAACATGTTTGACAAAACATAAATTTTGCAATTCTAGTGAGCAGAAAATTACACAAACACTTAAAGGGATAGTTCACCCAAATATGAAAATTCTGTCATTAATTACTCTCCCTCATGTCGTTCTAAACCTGTAAGACCTTTGTTCATCTTCGGAACACAAATTAAGATATTTTGATGATGTCGTCCCGTCGAACCAGAACCACTGGCGAGGAGGAGGTGAGCGTGTGCAGCGGCAGCCGCGAGAGCTTCTGACTGTCGTACTCCACCTGGTATTTGCAGCAGGGGTCGAACTGCCAGGAGATGCCATAGAGCGTGGCACAGGCCAGGCTCAGAGCGCCAGCGGGGAGCGCCACGTAGCGGGAGTAGTCGGCGGGAAGAGCGAGCGGCGTCAGGAGGCACGCGGCCCCTGCCAGAACAGCGGTTTTGTGCAGGCAGTTTCCCACGGCCACCCAGCGGGCCGTCTCATCTCCGATGCGCGTGGGTTCGATTACAATGTAGCGGTACTGCGCCTCCAGAGCCTGCTCCAGCTCGTACTCGAACTGCTCCTGTGCATTCTCGCCGTTGTAGATCTCGTGGACGATGTAACACTCCGTGGCCGCCATCACTCCCCTGAAGAGAGCGATAGAAAATGAGAATTCGTCAATCGGAATTAATCCAATCCAGATTCTGAAAATTCTGTTTCTGAACCCTAAACGTTGCAATCTGATTGACATATTCATTTACATGCATTCCATTTCGTAAGATAAAAAAAAAAAAACGCACACGTTCATAAGATGTAAAACATATGTCAACAGATGCATCATGGCACTGTGCATGAGGTATTTTTTAATTTGATTGAGAAAATTGTTGTATGAAAGCATTTATTTTTTCCTGTTTATCAGATTATTTCAGGTCTACATCAAAACCAGCGTAATAATGTCAATGGAGCTACCAAGAGTTGTTTTTGCATCAAACCTCTACTGGCTCTGCTCTCCCCTTTACCTAAATTTACTACTTCAGACTTATGTGCCCTCTAGAATAGTGGTTGACCGATATTGGTTTTTTGACAGCCGATATAATTGTATTTATTTTCATTAATATTTAAGAAATTTGAAATCATTTGAAAATGGATTAAAAAATTATTTTGTAAAATAAACATACTTATACTTTAGATGACAAAGTATTTTCCACAAATAAATAAATATTTTTTATAATTTTATAATTAAAAAGGAAGTAAACTGTAACCAACAGAGCACTCAGTATTCTGGGAAGTTTGTGTGCATTGGGAATCGTATTTTTTCAAATAAAGCCAAGGTAACACTCATAACACATCATACATACAGCACACAGTGAAAAAATGACATGAATATGACAGTGGGCAAGTGCCGCATAATTTGAAATCACTCTGGAAGCTTGCATTCTGCAAGTGAACGGCGCTTTATTGTTTGTGCCATCCCAAAGAAGCACAAAATCACTTTCACGGTCTTCCCTACTGGTGAAATGACCTGGGGCCTCATGTATAAAACTTTCTGTAGATTTCATCCTAAAAGTGTACGTACGCACAAAAGCTAGATCTGGCGTACACACAAAAGTTTTCAGATTTATAAAACCATGCGTACGCCAGAACCTGCGCAAAAATC